TTTTCATTTTAAACGTCAGCAGTCGACTTAGATATCTTCCAGCCTCGACGTGCGGGTAGTGTGTACATTGCCACATCACCACATCTCCACCATTTCACCTACAACACACGCTTCTCCTCCACCTCCGCATCATCAATTAACGACTAGCCAAATGATTAGCAGCTAACGTAAATCGCACGACACAACCCATCCAGCGGCGTTCTATACCATATCTCTGCCTTGCCATGGATTGCGTTCCCTCTCGGGTCACATGAACGTCGTTCCGACACTGATATAATGGCTTTTTTGGGGGGCGAAAATTGATTGGATGCTCCTCGCCTTGATTGTAGTTTTGATGATTGAGGATTTTCGTGCCTGTTTCTCGCGTTTTTGTAAAATTTTATAAAAATATCAACGTTTTAGATTCCTCAGTTTACTCGTTGCTGCTTTCCCTGTTTGAAGAGAATGGGTTTCGATTTTCGCGGTTAAATTTTTGCACGATTGTCTTGGGTATATTGGGTATGGGTATCAAGGCAGGCATGGTTTATTTGTTAGATCTTATAGAAGCACACTGACTGCGACTCAAAAACTGACTTACAGTCTTCCGAGTCCTTTATTTCGCTACAGCTGTTTGTAGTACTCGGGGCCGTTGATCTATACTCTTGTTTGCGCAAACAGATCCACTGAAAAATCCTTTAATACACATACTTTTACAACGGCTATGCTTTTACTTACCCATGTGCGAAAAACCCGCACATGGCTGCAGGCAAGGAAGTAAGGCCTGGCTCCTGGTTAGAACTGTCGTCGGAAGCACTAGTGAGAATGCCACGCACAACAATGCGGTGGGTCTAGATCTACTAAGGAAACCGCAAACATTACAACTAAACGTACAGTATGCTTGAATGTGCAGCACCAGCATTTGCGGCTGTGTTGGCACATTCGAGATAAACAAGTAACCCGACCGGTGTTGTTGACCAGGATCTCGAGGCAACAATATAATTCACGAGGTTGCATATCTGAAAGCAATTGGTATATTTTATCATGCCTTAAAATGTTATTTAAAAGTGTATAAGTATAGTAAAGAACTTCCTACACAATGATGCTGATGAAACGACTCACATAAAGTAGCTGAAAGTGGCGGTCGCAAAGGGAAAATTCACCTTATTTGATACCTTGCGAAAAAAGGCCAAAGAAATTTTTAACAAAATTCATCGTATAACTCTTTATTACAATCAAACACCAAAAATTTACAAGCGTCGAAGCAAAAGAATTTATGAAATCTTACGAGTTCTTACCAGTGGCATATGTAGGTAGTAGCATTTTCGGAAGTATAGCTCCCAAACGTCGACTCCACACCTAGAAGAGACTAAGGTTTGTTAGTATAGTTACAAATAGCTAAACGGGGGAGTGGAATCTGAGACACGACCGACCATCTCAAACTGACTAGCGCACATGTAACCTTTTTTGCTGCTCATGAAACACAAATATGAACAATAGTTGAACCGTTCTAATATAAAGCATTGTAACACCCACGATGCGAACGTGCAATAGCAATCAAAGAAAATACCATATGATAACGCCAGGTCGCATACCTGGGAATATGATTACCGTAGACAAAACAACGTCTCCATTATTTCCGAACACAACTTCGGAATCAACGCCTGTTAATAGTGAGATGATACATTGGTATGCATATAACTAGTCACCAATTGTGATGAAATTGCCATATGCTGAACAGAGATGACGTAATGAATAGAAGCATGATACGTTGAAAACCCCCACCGCCAGAGGAAGTAGCAAAGCCAGAAGAAATGAAACCGAAGTAACATGGCTACCAAGTGTCACTTAAAACAAAGTTTTCCACAAAAATTCTTTAAAACTAGAAAAGCATAAATATAGTTATTTTTTAAAATTTTTATCTATTTTGTAAGCATGACTTTCAATTATATAGAACTTTGTGCTATTCGCAAATATGGAACACATTTCATTTTTAGTTAATTAACTCTTTCCAAGTTTAACGTCATAGCAACATTAATATGCAAAATCAACATGGATATAGTAAAACAGGAAAATATATAGTATATTAACTAATAGGATTTTCGAATGATGGGTAGCACATTTTCCGTAAGTTCCTTTTAGCTCTGAGCAAAATTAGCAAATTGCCAAATATTGGGTATAAACATTTTAGAGGTCGGGTATTTTCAATACAGTAACCCTAATACATGGATTAGGAACCTAATTTATTCTATAATATTCATCACTTTCATTTTACAATACTTATAATCAAACCCGCCTCTTTGTATCACAATTGACTGCTTTTGAATTTCACCTCTTTCTGACTCTCTTAGCCCATTTTTAGTCAAAACCCACATTACGCAAGCAAAGTGGTCTCTGTTGCAATGCATCTGCATCTAACACAGATTTGCTCCTGTTTCTTTGCCATTTAAACCTATTTATCTGTGATTTCTCCTTCGTATTCTTTTTACTTGTTTTCGAACGCTTCTTATTGAATTACTGTACTACAACGCTGCTTACTGCTATCCCATGACGAAATGAAATTACATGCACATCACATCGTATCACAAATCCTCCCACAATCACGATAAATCGTACCCTAACACACACAAACCCTCCATCAATGTCCACATCGAGATTTTCTTCCATTTTGTATATAAAATTGCCGCTGCTACATCACTAGTTTTGCATCTTGCAGCGCTCTCTTTTAGTGAACAAAAATGGATTTGCGACAACACACTACCAACGCTCTTTTCCAAAGTATGTGCAGCTATAAGAGTTTACGTAGCTGGACACAATTAGCGTGTTAACGTGCGAGTAGTCTATTTCCTTTATGACTAAACTGGTAGCTTTATGTATACAACTGAGGTCTAGATTTGTTTGACTGATTTTAGTGACCTTGATATCAACACATTGCATCATCTAGACTTAATTATAATTTACACTTATAGCATCCATTAAGCCGGGTAACCAGGAGCACCAACAACCCATAAGACAACCCATAAGTCCATATGGTACTAATAAAGCAACGTGATTCTATATAGACAGTGGCGCAGCAACAGCGACTGATCATGTTTGATTCTTGAAAAAGGGGAAAGTTAGGCGTCGTTGCTGGCGAAATGACGCAACAGTGCTACAACAACGAAGATTTAAAAGAGAAAAATATTTACAGAGCAGTCACGATGACTGGATATCAACGGCATCAGCAATAGCATCATGTAATTGTAAGTCAAGACCGAGTGCTCGACGAACAGGAGTCCTTGAAGGAAGGATATCAGCTGGCCCTTGGCTAAGACGACCCACAGTTTTGACTAAATTATCAGCCAAGTGCGTGGCTGCCAGCACTTCTCGACCACAAGGCCGCAGGTTGCGTTCCTCAGCCAACGCTGGGGCTGAAAAATCGCTAAGACGCCGGTGCTGGGCATTGTAAAGGTCTCGCAACAGACGCGCCGACTCCGCCAGTAAATGCGCGTTTGCAGAATCCGAGACCTCATTTGATCCATCCTCGTCATCAAATGCAGTTATTTCTGCAGGAAAGAGTGAGGCAAGAAATGTGTGTGGCAAATAACAGTTCCCCGTCCAAGCCTATTAGAGACAGCGTTGCAAAAAAATAGCATGCATAAAGAATGGAATGGGTTTTGATTTAATCAAGTAGAAAACAAGCGTTTTAACCTATTAAAATAATACTAATTGCGTGCAGTTTAGGGGAGGGATGTAGATATACGTCAAAGAAATATAATTTTTCAACCCAAATATTTGATCACTTTGCAGCTGGTGACGCTAAAATCACTCCACGTCAGAATTTTCTTTTGAGAACGAATTTTAAAATGGAGTTAGTAATTGAAACAAGTGGGATCTTACATAATAAGGGAGGTGAATGTTGAACTCAGAAGTACAAGAGCCTCACCTTCGTTCTACGGAACGTCACATGTTTAACAGACATCATGATACACAGATCAACTCATCGAATGGTTTAAATACAAGTCCTATTTAGTAAGCAAGGGGATCGCACTAATCCAATTACTGAGAAGAAAGATTACCAGCCACTTAACTACGCACGCTCGTACACAGGGCGTGTACACTCCCGAAATCGCACGCCAGGCAGATAAATACCATTTCCCGTAATGAAATTCGTACAGAAATGTAGTATACATTCAATAAGTTGTGCAGAATCTCAGCTACAGGCAGGCAATTCTGATTTGGGCATCCCATTATTTAGATCCACATAACAGTGAGCAGTTCAAAAGGCGACCACTCAGTGTAATCCACAATGAATTAGTTTAAACAAATCAGTCGAACTCAGTAATACAAAGTCTATTATAAAACAATTTCCGAGAAAAATACCTGGTGTTATGGTAGCAGCCTCAGTAGACAATTCCACCATTTCTACACCTTCCGAAACTTTAGGCAGATTCCTAGTAATGGCATTGGCAAGATACAGCCCGAAGTCCCCATCGGGATGCTCGCCACATATCACCGACGGAATGATTTCGTCCAAAACCTCGCTCGAATCCTGCGCCTCTTTCCACTCTGCCGCACAGTCAGACAATGCAGCCTGCAATTCCCCATCGTCCTCTGCTTCAACAACACAACGGAGCTTGCTCCACGGGCACTCATTGATATGGCTTTTCTCGGAATCCCCACGTGACTCAAGAGAGTAGAGCATGCGGGCGGGGAGCCAGGAGGTCGAGAGAAGGAGTTGATTCGCTTCTGGACTGCAGTTGGAAGCACCGCTGTCAAAAGTGGGTCCAAAACTCGCAAATGGACCATAGTTAAGGTATGTGTAAGGGATAACCCGATTGCGACGGTCCTCGCGATAGCCACCACTTGGTGAGAGGTGAGTACCATAGGCCAGCTGTCCAACCTATCATAGAAGATTTGCCATTTCATGATTTGAAATTCTACCTTGTCAAACATTTCTATGAACCTGAAATGGCTCCATCGTAGTTT